TCTTAAAATTTCTAACTTTAGCCAAATGACTCCAAAATGACCTACGGACCTCCAAATCCACTTCTGATCGCGCTCCCAATACCAGAATCACCATACGGAGCTATTCCCTGACTTGGAATCCTAAACGGACATCGATACCATTGAAATGCACTTCAACCCAAATTTATGAAATTCTTCCAAAATGCTAACTTCCAGAATAGGCGCTGAAATGCTCCCGGGTCATCCAAAACCCTATCCGGGCATACGCCCAAGTCCGAAATCATCATACGAACTTGTTGAAACCTTTAAATCCTGATTCCGAGGTCGTTTACTCAAAAATTCAAGCAAATTCATCCAACTTAAATCTCTCGAAATGAGAATTCTCTTTCCAAATCAACCTCGAACTTCCCAGAATTCGATTTCGACCATGCGTACAAGTCATAATACCTGTAGTGAAGCTGCTCATGGCCTCAAATCGCTAAACGACGACTAGGGCTCAAAACGACCGGTCAGGTCATCACATTCTCTTCCACTTAAACATACGTTCGTCCTCGAACGTGCTAAGAATTGCGCTGGAGCTGTCTGAAATCACTATTAGACACCTCGTGCACCTACCCGTGCTACCACAACTCAGTTGAGCACATTAGCTCGAGCAAATCTGAAGATATTCTCTTTTATTCAAGTAGATAAGCTTAGAACCCAATTCCAACACCAGTAATTCTCTGCCAGGCCTGCTTCCAACCTACGAACACTGTATCAATCACTACACGATGCACCGATACCTGATTGCATACCTTTGCTGAATTCACACTTTGAACTGCATAACTCTCATGACCATAATAACATCCTCTGATAACGATAGCCAAAATTCCACGACTCTGATGCTCCCAACGCACCTCATGACATATATAAGTCTTGTCCCAACTTTTACAATACCGCCACAACGAAAGAGATGTGTAAAAATTCATAACCAACTGCCGAGTCAATAAACCGTGGAGTCTATAATCCTGACAAGAATCACTACCTCATTCTGAACCAAATAATGGTATTTGCTCTTTAATATACTTCATAAAATCCGATCACACTGATCCTAGATCCAACAATCTCGTCTCACCCAATACAAGCCGCTCAGGCAATAAGCCACCCCAGACATGACCAAAAGTCTCATATGATGCCAAAATGTGCTGATAGGCTACAAACTTGAACGTGATACATAAGGAAATCGAACCCTGGAAGGGACTACTCAACTCATGCAACTAATTAGACCACCGAAAAGGTGTTATAAACCTTCCTCAGAAAAATGGAAAACGAAACACACAAAATAGAATATAGGGGACGGAACTCAACATCACACTTTTGCGACGTACAACCCGATCCAAACAACATACCCGCGGCAGCGTGCCACCTGATCCACACGTAAAATCCATTTAAGGAGATACATACCGAGCTAGAGTTCTCATTACTACAAAATATCGAATATTGGCCACAAGCACGCTAAGTGCATAATACCATCCCTGGGGACAGATAGCCCCATGCGCTACAAAACTCAAGCACATCTAAGATGTGATTTATGATCTGAATCTCGAGAGCCATCAAAATATCGAGTGCTTATTAATTATATAACAGAATCGAGCGATCATAGTTAAGGGTGCTTAATCGGGCGGATATTTATGCTTAATAGTTCGGCTTATCAGTTATCGATTTATAAATGAGGTTATCCACTGGCCAACCAATAAGACATCGGGCGGATTGATATCAGATTAGAGATTATCGGACGGTTTATTGACAAAATTAAATAGACAATAAAAAAGAAGTAAAGAACTAGAGATGCGGGAAAATTTAGGTCCAGATTTATTTAAATAATATTTCCTAATTCATGTGACGTGCAATATCCGGTATAAGGGAGAGTAAATAATTAGTATGTGGTATGGATTAAAAAAATTGACCTCTCAATTGAAAAAAAAAAACTTACGAGGAAAATAAGTTAGTTAACAAATGCACAAACAAATCTCCTTCTTATCTCATGGAAAAATCCATGTGACATGCAATTCATGTCTGACCAAATCCATGTTTGAACTTTGAAGAGCGGATTGCTTTGGGTGTTGGATTGAGAAATTAGGGATTTAAGGTTTAATTTCAAGTTGTACTTATATACATAGGGTTGGAAGTGTAAATAAAAATTCTTAACGGGTTATCGGTTTATCCAATAAGAAAATTGAGTGATCCACCCCCAAACCGTTAAGCCGTTAATTATAAGTTTTAATCCGCTCAACAATAGTTATCCCGATAACTCGATACTAATACGCCAATAAACCAATTTTATTATTTGATTAATGATTACGATTCGATTTTAAACGGCCCTAATTATAATTATAGTCACGTCTTCGACATATGTGAAAGGTTGAATAGTAAACTTAAGTTCGCAAGTATAGAGGTTTTGCTTCATTACTCAAATAGTCACTCAACTATCCCAAATTATCTTCTAATGTCACTTTTCTTTCGTTTGTAACAGCAAAGTCACTGAACTATGCCTATTGCACTCAGAAGGTCACTCAACTAGATTTTCCAAATTTTGGATTGCCAAATACCTATTTTACCCTCTATATTATAAACATTTATCTTCTTTTTATTTTATTTTTAACTCTTTAGTGTTAACAAAAAAAATTCAAAAATTTATTTTCACAATTCAGAATGAAAGAAAATAAATTATGTAAAATATATATTCCCACGTAATATAAAAATAATTATTTAGATAAAGGTATTTTTATCATATACATTATATATTCTTAAAAATTATGCTCAATCATATTATTATGTTTCTAAAAAAATTTTGACGACACAAAGTTATGTCACCGGAAAGCAAGGGGACTATCTGTATAGGATAAATTATGCTATGTTAAGTCGTGCATGGAATATATATAATATAATTGAGAATAATTTTCAAGAATATATAATGCATATTATAAAAATACCTTTATGTAAATAATTATTTTTATATTACGTGCATGGAATATATATTTTACAATCTTTATTTTCTTTCATTCTGAATTGTGTAAATATATTTTTGAATTTTTTTTGTTAATACTAAAATTATTATTGCTAATAAATTATTCTCATTAATTTTTTTACTATGCTCTTTTTTTTTTTTTTGCTATTCCAGCATTATATATGCTTAAATACTTTTTATTTTTTTAATTTATAAATATATTTGTTTATTCTATAGGTAAGTCCATAATGTAAATTAAAAAGGGAAAAAATCATAATATTAAAAAGTTTAAACAAAATAAAAAGAAGATAAATGTTTATAAGTTAGAGGGTAAAATAGGTATTTGGCAATCCAAAATTTGAAAAAGCTAGTTCAGTGACCTTCTGAGTGCAATATGCATAGTTCAGTGATTTTGTTGTTACAAACGAAAGAAAAGTGACTTTAAAAGATAATTTCAGATAGTTAAGTGACCATTTGAGTAATGAACTCATCACATGAGAGTCAAGTACTTGAGATGGATAATAATTATCTGGTTGAAGCTTATTCATTATTACAATTGAATTTTTTATGCGTTTCAGTGTTAAACAACTTGATATATTTTGGAGTAACAGTTTTACTACGTGTTTACCCTAAAAAACGGATAATAATTGAATTTATATGTGATTTTAAGGATATGCAGATTAATTCGATACAAATAATTTATGGCGTTAGATTAAACAAATGAAAGACGTAATAAATTGTCAAACTAATAATGAGAGTGATCCGGACTCAGTAACGGCTTAACGAAGTGCTTGCCTTCGATCCTGAGCTCACACTAATGAAGAACTGATGAACAAAAGTAAGAACTTTGAATAACAGAAAGAATAAGAGTATATTGTCTTAATATGCGTGTTATAATGTCCCCCGTGAATAATAAATTTTCCCCTTTATATAGTAGGGGAATTTTATCCTAAGTACAACTCTAAGAAAGATAAAATCTTCCGTTTCACTAATCACTGATTTTCTGCCGATACAGACTGAGATTCGCGTTGTGATATCTGGTTGGGAACGGATATCACGGCCCTTCATTAGTCATGTGCAGCCGTTTGATAATGTTCTCCGAAGTCTCGAGGCCCCAACCGGACCCGGAGGATGTGGTTCCGATGCCTCCGAGGGTATAAGTCTTGCCCGAACCCCGATACGAGAGGCTCCTCGCCTAGATTTCGATTTTTCACGATCATGTTCCTGTGCCGTTTGTCTTAACGGAAAACCGAGATCTTCAACGAGCTCGATTTTACCCGTATAGACTATGACTCTTTTTTTATATAAAGAATAGGAGTAGCTAGCATATGTTCTTGAGTACCCTGATAATTGATCAAGTCAACCTTTGAGAAGCCAATAACCGTACGCAATTGTGGTATGAATAGAGAATCTTGTTACTACTACTCCCTCCGGTCCAAAATAAGTGATTTTTTGGATGTTTTCACACAGATTAAGAAATCCACCTTTTAGCATTAATTAACAATGGAATTGACCATATTAACCTTTACTATCTCACATAAACATTCCTAACACATATTCCAACAGTATTTACTCTAAGGACAATGTAGGAAAAAAATAATTAATTCATTCTTGAAATCTAGAAAAATCACTTATTTTGGACCACAAAAAAATGCCAAAAAATTATTTATTTTGGACCGGAGGGAGTATTATATATGTACAGCAAAAAGTCAATTTGAAATCCATTCTAAGATTAAGAATAGTTTATTACTATTAGACCACAACATGTAACTTTTTAGAATATAGAAAAGTGCGACTCTCCTCGAGGTTTTTGTCTGATTAGAATAAGTGATAGTTGATAAAAGGCATTTGAGAAAAAGGTTTTGTAAGTGGAAGATGTGTATTAAGCAATGGAAAGGATTTGATACTTAATGCCGTGTGAGAATCATTATTCATCTTTAATCTTTATCAATTACCCCACAATCTCTAGCTAGCTAGTACAAAAACAAGGGAGCGGTGCTAGTTTTATGCATTCAATTTGCGACAACCTATAATATATAATATATTCTTTTCTCGAGTTTAATCATCCGGTATTCAGAATTAATTGGTTTGACGACTAATCCATATTTGCACTGAATAAGTGAATTAACAGGGGTAATCAAAGCGCTCCCTCCGAAAAGTTCTTCCTCTCAAGCAACTCAAACATGCGACAACCTTTGGTTAAGATTGAAGGAACTCAAATCATCTCACCACATTTTTTGGTACGTATATTCTTATAGCTAAATGCCCCTACGTACCGTGTGTCTAACTACTTGTGACTTGATTCCCTCTCCTTTCGGCGAGCGCAGCTGGAATGTTGTATTAAAAAACTACTGTGATGATTCCTATCAGCATATATAAATCTGTGTATATTTTGTAGGACAAATTATAAGGCACTCAAATCTCCACATTCTTTGTATTAAATGGCTTCAAAAGCGCACTATGAAGGCAATCACACATTCTATAAAAAAGAAAAGGTGCAACAAGTTTCATATATGCATTTCTTCAATGTCGTGTGCTTTCTAATATTGCATGTCTTGTTCTCTCATTACTTAATTACTTCATGCATTATACTAATGCTCGGGTTCATGTTTCCTATTTATTTAAGCTTTTTTTTCCGGTAATTTATTTATTTAAGCTTTTGTAAATTGTGGAAATCCGAAGCAAAAAGGAAAGAAGCCATCATTTAAAAAAAAAAAAAAAAAATTCCCATCCCCTCTGTCTCTCTCTTTCACTGGGAATTTATGAAAATATTTGACAAATGTTATTTTCCTTACTTACAGGGGTATGTAATTTATCCCAAAGCTATTAATATTGTTTGGGGAAACGACAAGCGCTTTTGGAAGTTACCCAAATACGAGTAAGAATTTTCCATTTTATCTTTGTTACTGATTGTTGTTACTGTTTATTTTTTTATTTTATTTTTTTGGTGCTGAGGTTTGGAAATAGCCTTTTTATTTTCACAAGCTAAGGATAAGATCAGCGTATACACTAATCCTCAGCAGAAGCAGATCCAGGATTTCAAGAGGATGGGTGCACTGTTATGAAGAAGTGTATCTAGAATTTATATTTAACGAGTTTAATTTTAGTCTTTTACCATGAACTCACTACACTTTTGAAATTTTAGGCTCAAAATTATATTCTTTTTGAAATTTTAGTAATTTTTACATATATATATATATATATATATATACTCCGTGGCGAAATCAAGACCGTTCAGAGTGAGATTTGAACCGCAAATTTCACTAGCTTGTAAAGGTGCACCCAATAATAATTGCACCATAGGAATCTTTGAGCATGGGTTCATACACATATATTTAAGTAATTTTAAAGAAATATAATATTATTATACATAGTTTATGGAGAGGAGTATGGGTTCACGTGAACCCATATCTGTCAACCTGGATATGCCTGTGCTCCTCAGACCCCACTCGTAAGGTTGCACTGGGTTTGTTTTTATTATTATTGTTGTTGTACGAGTAAGGATTTTGCACTTTATAGCCATTTCCGTTATTTGCCAAAATTTAATATTACTGCTATTTTGTAGTATTAGCTAATAACAAAATCATTATATTTGAACAGAAAGGAGGACGCAGAACTTATTCAAGTAGATTGGCTAGAGGTAACTGGTTGGATTGACAATGTATTAGAGAAGAAAACATACGACGTCGGTCGGTGTCATTGATGCCTGATGCGTTCGGTTGGAGTGATTCACCAGTCTATATTATGGCTAAATGGGGAGACAACACTCAATGGAGAAAAGTGAATTTGACAACTGATATTGACATTAATGGCAAAAAGATGATACCAAAAACTCTTACTATATAACAAAAGGAAATGGGAATACTGATGATAAGCTGTATTTTGGTTTGTATGAAGTTTGGAGTAAAAGGTGGGAAGGAGGTTTGAAAATTCATTGTGTAAACTTGACAGAGAGAAGCTAAGCCGATGAAGTGTGGGGGAGCCAGAGCGTGGGGATGCGGGTTCGGCAGAATGCACAACCTTTTATTCAAATTATGTCTTTATCTTAAAAAATTCGTTGAATATTATATAAAATATTATTTTAAAATTCAATAACTTAAAAGGATAATAATCCCAAACCCATAAGATTCAAATCTTGGCTCCACCTCTGAGAGCGAGGGGATATAATCTCAAGTTAAAAGTCTCGCTGTTCTTACTTCATGTATTTTTAGAGTGTATTTTCTTCCATATATGTGTAATTTTTCTTGCATGAATGAAACTATATATATGATTCACAATCATATATCCTTTTATATTTACAATTTTATTGTTGTGTGACATACACTTAATTAAAAAGGTGATCAAACATAAAAAGTTATGTGTATTAGATATATCTAGAAAATATTTCCTGTGTTCGAGAAGTGTGAGAAAAGGAATTTTGACCTCAAACTCAGAAGGTAAACTATGTATTCTCCCGTAACTTAGTGATAACTTAGAGTTGAAGAATATTTAACTCTCCAAATAGTAGATAAATATTTTTTGTATTTTGTTTTCATGGACGTTATATTGTTATTAGTGTATTGGGAAAAATTGAGTTCGTGTATAGAATTAAATAAGAGGTGATATATCATGACACGCGGACTAGTAGAAAAGTAACTGATTGGCAAAGTAAAAAGACACGAGCTTCAACAGGCACAGGCAGAGGAAAGATAAAAGCTCATACCTATTGATATTCAGAAGTTATATCAGAATAATGAACTTAAATAGCAAAAGAGGTACAGATACGTATTATTGATAATTAATAGGCATTAATTACGGAAAGCGTTATTGAATTTGTAATGAATCAGTTATGATTACCAATTATAACGTTACATTAATGCCATTAATTATCATAAAGGCTCTATTATAATAAAGGAAAAATGTGCTACTTCGAGATAGCAATAAAAGGGAAAGATTGAACATTTGTAAGGACACGAAATACTATTGCAATATACTGATTTATTTTGCTTTCTTCTGCTTATTGAAGTAAATTTCTTTTATTCATTATATATTTGATTATCAGTAACCCGAGTTCTTCTAAAATAAAGCTTTGACCGGAATCCCTATTTTTGGTTAAAACAAATTGGTTCTGTTACCGGGAATCAGATAATTTATTCCTTCCTACATTAACCTTTTTATTAAATCAATCATGTCAAATGTCAACGACAACAACAATCAAAGAGACCGTCAACTCCAGGAGAATTTGCAAGGTGATGGAACCCCTGTCCCTTCTCCACAAAATTCTCCTCGACAATCTCGAGAAGGAACTCCTGATGGATCTCAATCAAATGCAAATGATCAATTGGAAAATGATGAGGCTATCAACGAAGCTTTGCAAAAGTTAATCGCTCAACAGGTCAGCAAAGCTCTTGAGGCTTTCGCTAGCCAGTTGCCGGTCGCACCACCAACACCAACTCCGAATAATAATATTTTGGAAAACCCACGTTCTAGGCTCGTTAATTCAGGCGGTGGTGGAACTCCAAGCGAATCTCGTGATGGCGAACCAGGTAACATAGTTAATTCTGATTTACAAAATTTAGTATTAACCTTGCAGAAACAGCTTAAGGAGCAAAGCGATCGCATAGAGCAAATACCTGGAGTACCGCCTATAATCAAGGGAATAGATATGGATAAATATTCACAACAACCTTGGAAACCCAGTGCTGCTCCTCTACCGATTCCGAAGAAATTCAAGATGCCCGACATCCCAAAATACGATGGCACAACTGATCCATGAGATCACGTGACTGCGTTCACAACTGGCGTGAAGGGCAACGACTTAACCAAACAAGAAATTGAATCAGTATTGGTCAAGAAATTCGGTGAAACACTCACCAAGGGAGCCTTAACATGGTATTCTCTCTTACCCGAAAATTCTATAAATTCTTTTGCTGAGCTTGCAGATTCATTTATCAAAGTGCATTCGGGAGCCCAAAAAGTCGAAAGAAGAATGGAAGATATTTTCAAAATAAAGCAAGGGGATTCCGAGCTGCTTAGAGAATTCGTAGATAGATTCCAGCGTGAAAGGATGACGTTACCACTCGTACCTGATAACTGGGCAGCTATGGCTTTTGCCAGTAATTTAAATGAAAAGAGCTCAGAAGCCACGAGACGACTCAAAGAAAGTCTACGTGAATTTCCAGCAACAACCTGGAATGATGTTTACAACAGATACAGCACGAAGCTAAGGATAGAAGAAGATACCATCTCCCGGTCTCAAAAAGAGGAGAAGGTGAGTTCGAGACGTGCTGAAACCGAAAAAAGGTCCGATAAAAACAAATACGAACCCTACATGGGCCCAACGGGAAGAGACTCACGTTCAAAACAGGACAATTCCAGGTATGATCATAGATCGAGAGATAGAGAGTCGGGTTCATCATCAAGGTTTAGAAAAGATCGAAATGCATGAAGACGCGAGATGATGACAGAAGTTTGAAGGCAAGATTTGGCGGTTACAATTTTAATGTCAGCACTTCAGAGTTAGTAGCAGTATTAAGAAGCATGGGTGATAAGGTGCAGTGGCCAAAGGAAATGAGATCAAATCCGAATAGGCATAATCCTGATCACTGGTGCGAGTTTCACAACGATCATGGTCATAAAACGGCAGATTGTAGATTGCTACAAGGTGAAGTAGACTATTTATTAAAGCAAGGGTATCTTACCGAGCTATTTAGTGAAAAAGGTAAGCAATCATACATGAAGAACAGGCAGGAGGCCCCTAAACCTCCTTCTCGCAAAAGGACCGTTAATGTTATAAGCGGGGGCGAAGAAATTAACGGCATGACATATACGGCAGCCAAGAAAATTTCAAAAGTTACAGTTACACACGGGAAGCCGGTCCGACATGTTTTGGAGGAAGAAAGTATTACATTTGATGGTGCAGATGCGGACGGCATGTTAACTCCACACAACAATGCACTGGTAATATCTCTACTTGTACATGATACTAATGTGAAACGAGTTTTGATTGATCCAGGTAGTTCTGTGAACATCATTTTGCTAAGAGTATTAAACGAGATGCAAGCCGAAGATAAGCTAGTACCTAAAGCACATACGTTATCTGGCTTTGACAATTCAAGCGTCGTGACAAAAGGGGAGGTAGTACTTACAACATTCGCAGAGGGAGTTGTTAAAGATACGAAATTTCAGGTGGTAGAGATGGAGATGGCTTACAATGTGATTATTGGTAGACCGTGGATTCACGAGATGGATGTTGTGCCATCTACCCTACATCAAGTTATTAAATTCCCATCACCATGGGGAATACGTCAAATCCGTGGGGATCAACAAACATCTAGGGGCATCAACTCTGTAGCAGATTCAAGCACAAAAAATGAAGAAAAGTAGCAATTATAGAATCCAGTTGAGGATACTACGACGCAAGCCTCAACTGAACATGGGCGAACAGATGTGGACTCAAGGCCTGATTCCATTCAAGAACCCGAAGAAAATGAAAATATCAAAACAACGGTTGAAGAGTTGGAGGCTGTAGAACTATTCACACAATGGCCTGAAAAGAAAGTCTACATTGGGGCCAACTTAAGCCACGAAATGAAAGGTAAGTTGATTGAATTTTTGAAAACTAACGTGAATTGCTTTGCTTGGTCCTATTCTGATATGACAGGCATACCCCCGAAAGTAATGACTCACAAGTTAAATGAAGATCCATCGTATCCACCTATCAAACAAAAGAAAAGAAAGCAGGGATCTTTCAAAAATCAGGTGATTCAAGATGAGGTCCAAAAACTTTTAAAAATTGGGTCTATCCGTGAGGTAACATATCCTAATTGGTTAGCTAATACTGTAGTAGTACCAAAAAAGAATGGCAAATGGCGAGTTTGTGTAGACTACACCGACCTTAACAAAGCTTGTCCTAAAGATTCTTTTCCGTTATCACATATAGATCAACTAATTGATGCTACAGCAGGACATGAATTGTTAAGCTTTTTAGATGCATATTCAGGGTATAATCAAATCAAAATGGATCCCCTAGATGAGAAAAAAAACTTCATTTATAACAGACAAGGGGACTTATTATTACAAAGTAATGCCATTTGGCCTTAAAAACGCTGGTGCCACATATCAAAGGTTGGTGACCAAAATGTTCCAGGAACATTTAGGAAAAACTACGGAAGTCTACATAGATGATATGCTTGTCAAATCTCAACAATCAGGAGATCATATACCGCACCGGTCTGATACATTTCAGATCTTACGAAAATTTAATATGAAGCTAAATCCCGAGAAATGTGCATTTGGTGTTTCATCAGGTAAGTTTTTGGGTTTTCTTGTTTCTAACAGTGGTATTGAAGTAAATCCCGCACAAATTAAAGCCATTGAAGAAATTCCTGACATGCTCACAAGTAAGAAAGAGGTGCAGAGACTGACGGGAAGAATTGCGGCCTTGGGAAGATTTATTTCCAAGTCATCAGAAAAATGTTTTAAGTTCTTTTCAGCTCTTAAAAAGCAAGATCAATTCGAATGGTCTGAGAAATGTCAACAAGCGCTCAAAAACCTGAAAGTCTACTTATCAAATCCGTCGTTGCTTGCAAAACCAAAAGATGGGGAAAGGTTGCTTATATACCTTGCTGTTTCAGAAGTAGCGGTGAGTGCTGTTTTGGTTCGTGAAGACCAAGGTAAACAGTCTCCAATTTATTATGTTAGCAAATCGTTATTAGACGCGGAGACACGGTATCCTCAACTAGAAAAACTTGCACTTGCATTAATCATGGCATCTAGGAAATTAAGGCCTTATTTTCAATGCCACCTTATCTCTGTAGTGACTGCTTATCCCCTACGTAATATATTACACAAATAGGAATTATCGGGTAGGTTAGCCAAGTGGGCCGTAGAATTGAGTGAATATGACATCACATATCAACCTAGAACTACAATAAAGTCACAGGTGTTAGCAGATTTTTTGGCCGATTTTAGCCAAGGGATGCAACTAGAAGCAGAAAAAGAACTACAAGTATTCAATGGATCTAATCTAGGAACATGGACCTTATTTACTGATGGCTCATCGAATGTGAAAGGAGCAGGTCTAGGAATTGTTTTAGTACCAACCTACGGGTGAAACTATACGACAAGCTATAAAATGTCATCCTGTGACTAACAATGAGGTAGCGTATGAAGCTGTGATTGCAGGTTTTGAAT